CATCGTGGCATTCTTTTTTTTTTGTTTTTCTTGCTGGGTTCTAGAAGAGATTTTCCCTTTGATGATCTTTTTAAGTGGTAGTACTAAGTGGGTACGGTCTGTGCGATGGTGGTGGGGCTTCGGTTACCTGCAGGTGCGGCTCAAATACACCGGCCCCTCCTCTTTCCTTGGGTGACGTCTTAAAGCAGCAAGGTGAATATTATCGGGAAGAGCACGCGTGTGATTCCGTTCGACAGTGGATCTACTAACTTAAACAATAGCCGCCTAGGCTGCGACGTTGCTGTTAAGAGACCCAACGGTTTTACTTGTTGTCCGGTACAGCACCCAAATGGCTGCTGGACCTTCGCATACCCCGCCTCCGGGCTCCGTCTCCGTCTCTGTGTCCGGGCCCGGGCTATCGGCGGCATTCTCGGATCCGGGCCTGCCACAACAATATCGCATTGCACTTGGGCTCAATATGGATGGCTACATTACTCCTGAGATAGAAGAAGCATATCGCCTGAATAACATGCAGATCGGCGCTGCCAATGCTAATGCTGCACCAACGACCTCTGGCCAGTTTGGTATACTTGCGCCAGCAACGATACCAGAGTCAAGCGAAGCACAGCCAGATACAGGGGCTTCTAATACTCAAAGTCAAGGGTATGAACAGCAAGTCAAACGATCAAATGGTCAGCTGAGCACCAAGATTGTGATTGATCCTCCAAATCTTGAGGAATGGAGGAATAAGTTATTCAATGTCGACGAAACCATCGTCCTTACACATGAAGAGTAAAATTGTCTTCTTCATACTGTCCCAGGCTTTCCTAATACTGGCAGGTTCGAGACGTATTTCCCACACGTAGACAACGTCTATTCTCACCGCTCGACGCAACGCTACAAAAGAAAACCCTTCATCTCCCACTACTGGGATTGCCGCATGAAAGGTCGCCCGCCAGGAACACCAAAGTCTGACGACCCAAACAAGAAGAAACGCAAGCGAACTTCTCGTCAGCGTGATCTGTGCGATGTCAAGATCAAGATCACTGAGTATTTCCCCGACGCTCATGTAGAGCTCGGCGAGAATACCTCTTCTAGCTCTGATACAACAGGCCAGCGCCTATGGACGATACAAAGAGTGAACGGAAACGGAGGTAATGGGAAGGGCGACGGTGTAGCTGGACCCCACAAGCACACGCTTGAAAGAAGTGACGAGATTAAGAAGAGCAGTGTGCAGCGATACGTGGCGAAGCAGGGCAGCCTGGGCAGGACAAATGGAAAAGCCAAGGAAGTCCGTATACTCGACATCAACAACAAATGGAAGATATCGCTAATATCTGGGCTTGTGTAGAAACCCGACCCAAAAGCTACTGGTGCGGCACTCGCAACGATCAGAAGGCACGTCAAAGAAAACAATTTCAAGTTTTATGCATCATGTATTTGGTGTGTTATCCCCGTAGCCTTCTCTCATTGGAACTCACTCTAATGACTTAGTCCATTCTCACAACGTGTCTGGATTGCTTTGGAAGCAAAAGCCATGTCCTACCAATATTACGAAACGAGCCCTTTCAGTCACACGGAGGAACTTCTCTTAGATAATCCTCGCGGCTGCTTACCCATCATAACACATGATGATTGGGAATGCTCAGAGAGCGCCGTGATACTAGAATATGTGAGTTTTGAACACTAGAGCATTGTATTACGGAACTGACGGGCTTTCTGTAGCTTGAGGACCTGGGGAAGGGAAAGTCACTGCTTCCTTCAGATCCCAGATTAAAGGCCAAATGTCGTTTATGGATCGATCATGTGAGAGTTACCTGTTGGGTCTAAGAGAAGAACTAACAGATTTAGATAAATCGTCATGTTGTTCCAAATTTCTACAAACTTGTGCAGAATCGAGAAACGAGTTTCGAACATGAAGCTGCGGATCGTTTACACGACAGCATAGACATCCTTGTTCGGGCTGCTGATGATAAGGTAAATGGCGGCTTATTTCGCTGGGTACCCACCCAGCATTTACTTGGTATCTATTTCTGCTTAGTTCGCTGACTTGGCGGAACTCTAGGGACCTTTCTTTCTCGATCAAAACATCTGTCTTGTTGATGTACACCTAGCACCTTTCGCCCTTCGCTTCACGAGAGTCCTCGCTCCTCTACACAGATGGCGTCCCCCGCCGCCTGGATCGCGCTGGGCGAGGTGGCTGGACGCTATCGAAGGAGACGTGAGTGTGGGAGCTACTACTAGTAACCGTGCTCTATACAATGAGATACCTGACACTCATATGGGGTATGCCGTAATGCAATAGTCAGTGAATCATGGCTGCTGTGTAGGGACACATATCTACATGCCGAGAGTTACTTAACTAAGCATATACCTCGCGTCTAGCTTTATATCTAGGTATGTGGCGATATCGAAGCCGGGAGCCCATTTTTATATGCGGTTATAGACTATTCATAACCAGCAGTACAGTTTCTTGCCTAAGATAAATATATGACTATGGCAGGGCCTTCATAAAAATAAAAAAAAGGTTACCAAATGTTGGCGCAGGCTATGTAGTACCATCTGGCACCGATGGGTCACTTCTCGTCGAGCCTCTCTTCCTCCTCTTGATAGCATCCCACTTCTCTTCAATCGTCACAAACTCCCCGCCAAGTCGAGCTTTGACTCTGCCTTCACCTAGCTCTTCAAGTGTTTTAGACTCAAGATAGCTCTTCCCATCATACTCGATTCGGCGTTGTGAATCGGGTAAGTATGCCCACGAGAAGATAGCCCCAACAGCCGCAACTGAGCCAAATAGGAGGAATATGAGCCCCTGCCTATTTTCAGCCTGATATGATTGGTTTATGCCATACACCACAAGAACGGCAACGAGACTTCCGAGCTTCCCAGCCGCCGCAGAAATACCATGACATAGACATCGATAGCAGGTTGGGAAGATTTCGGCCGGTATTATAAATGTCAAAGTATTGGCGCCTAGTGACACATTCTTTGTTAACCACGGAAAGCAAAGTAAAGAAGCTGGTCAACTTACCAAAGTTAAACATGAAGTGGCAAATGGCCACAAATACTACTGTAGCAGGAGCGCCTTGTTTTTGATGGACGCCATAGTAGACGCATCCGGTGATAACAAAGAAGCCAGCTAACAGAAGAAAGGACGCTGTGAGCCATTGACGCCGTGGAATACGGTTTGCAAAGACAACGAAGCAAGCACTGCCTGCGATAGATGCGAGTGAGACAGTTAGGAGATACTGCTTTGTCTGCTCGATAAGAACGTCGTAGATGGTGTTACAGGGGTGTGTTGCGTCGGTTGACCAAACTGGAAGTCCATTGGTGGCCCAGTCTGGTACAGTTGAGTTGCCTCCACGGAGTGATGATGTCCAGCATTCAAGGGAGCTATTGATCTTGGTCGGTGTAGTCGTTGCCCACATAGTTGAAAGTGTACCTCTATTGTCAAGGCTCATTCCATAAAATGAAACGTCCAAGAAAAACCACGTTGCTGCTGTGCCCAAAAGATATGCCCAGTTACCATCGCGGATAAAGTAGTTGTGGAGGTCCTCTCTCGAAAACTGGACAGGCATCGCTTCTTGAGAAGGATTGCCGACATGCGTACCATCTCCAATACCATTTGTTCGATAAGATGGTGCGCCGCGCGATGCCATCTGATAAGTTGTCGACGTTTGAGTCTGGTTGAGCTGACCCATTGGGAACGAATTCGATCCATTTCTAGCACCGCTCATAGAGCGCCCATCCGCACCACCACCGGGAAGGGATTCTATACCAGTCCCTTGTGGAGCACCATAGATCCTTTGGGTATTCACCAGAGCCACCGCTGGTTTATTTCGAACTTCTAGACTGTATATACCGCAGTCAAAAAGGAAGAAGCGGAAGATAATGGCAAGAAGCGCAGGCACAGCCCCTGAACCGATCACAATGCGCCAAACGCCATCCAACGCCTTCTTACATTCTTCCTCATGAAGTTTGTCAAGACCGCATCGCATTCCCTGTAGATCGTGGCTTCGTTGAAAGCCTAGGAGCACGAACAGGCCCACCAGCTGCGCCAGCGCCTGGCCGATAGGTTGCATCATGAAGACCGAGGAAAGCATAGTCGCGCGAGACTGTGTACTAGACCATTCCGAAGTGATGACTGCGCTAAGGGGATATTCAGCTCCGATTCCTAGCACAAATGGGTCAGTATCTAAGACTTGAGGGTTGGGTTGTGGTTGTAGTAGAAGTAGTACAACCAATGGTCTCACAAACCTATGCCCATTACAAAACGCCACCAAGTAAATAAGCCCAGGAAAGAAAGATCATTGTATCCGCGACTGCTCGTAGCGACACCGATCGTTGAAACGATAACCAGGACAAGCTCAATGCCGTAGAGGCGAGTTCGGCCATATCGATCCGCGAGATACCCAAACAAGACCTGACCTACCACAGACCCAAAGAGTGTGAAGAAGTTAATAAGTAGACCCGACCACTCTGGGCCATTGGGCCAATAAACGAATGCAACCGAAGCGAGAATTACATTCGTTGAGAAGAGGTTATATCTATGCAACGTTAGGGGGTTCCGGACGGTTAATTATATGACGTGACGATATGGTTGCATCGCTATTGTCAGTGGACAGAACTTACGAGTCGGTAAGAAAGCCAGAGGCGCAAACACCCCAGATGCGAAAATTCCACGAATTTAAATCGAGCTCGTAACGCAGTTGTTGGCGGTCCTATGGGTTATGATTAGCTCTATGGAGTTGGAGTTGCCTTAACAAGGGGAACCTATACGTTATACCCTGACAAAAAGACAGTGTTTGATAGGTAGCGCATTGACTTACTTGAGCATCTTGAGATGGCAACGCAGAACTGTCAGAGCCCAGGAAACCGCGGTTCTGGCGCAACGAATATCTTGAGAGAAGAGGCATGATCCGCGACGGGGATGAAAAGCGCGTTGCAAAAGTCCCTGTGAGCACGGGTGGCCTTGGATCTGGGGTCGTAGGACCCAAGAATATCAAATCAGGACAAGTGCTTAAATTGCGGGTAAGCAATACCCAAGCAAGAAGAAGACGGATGTTGTTCTCATGAACATGGCACCAATGCAGCAAGCAGAGGCATGATAGGACGGAAAGGGCAAACAAACTATATTGTTTACAAGTCGAAGCGAGCTGCGCAGTCCAAAGTATGGATGGCGTGAGATGCCATCGCAGAAGTGTGTGTCAGTTAAGGACTGTGCTGTGCGGCGAGTGCACGCCGTAAAGATAGTCTCCTTTAGAGCTGAAGGGACCCTTGGTTAAGGCGCGCACTTGGCCTCACTTGGCAGAGTCCTTCAATGATATCTAGTTACCCTTGTCTTCATATGCGGGAGGGCGGCCGGAGCTTAGGGGCCGACATACGCGGACTGAATAAGGGATCTATACGTCTCCGAGCGAGCGGTCTTGATGGGGCACTAAAAGTGACAAGAAAATATCCTTGATTGTCCGATCTGAAGAATAACAGTACATAGGACAGTGGCCGAGAAAGAGAGAAACAAGAGCGAAAAGTGCGAAGATATGGACCGTTTCAGTGGTTGAGTAGGGGTCCCTTGCATTAGTTGTCAGCCAGACCAGACAGAGACTCATTAGCTTGTGTGGGTACATACTCAAGTTGGGCGAGGACTAAAGGAAATCAGCTCCAATAGATCAATTTCGAAGCCCAGAACCACTGTGGCTTGTAGACATGCAGTCACCCAATTCAACCTGACGCTTTATGTATGAGAGTAGAAGACATCGAAGACAGGGCACGTGGTGTTGAACCTGACGGGAGTGACAGAAACGGGAAGGCAGTTTGGGGGTTGCATTAGTACCTGCCTCGACACTATGGAAGCATTGGCATTTGAGAATAAAGGAAGGAACAGGACAGATGCTGTTGTCTGTCTGTGGCAGGCGCTGCCCGGCAATATGTCTCCCCGCTACCTACCTACCTAGGTAGG